CTTCCTCCTTATGGGCTCAGTGAAAGGGAACATGTGCTCTCGCAGATGGGAATCCCTGCCTCCTGAAACAACACGCAGCACTAAATACTCAGGGGTGCGAGCTGCTCCCGGCATTGATTTCTACAGATAATTATTTCCATTAGTGCCTCCTCAGAAGAGGAGTTCAGGACAACAAAAAGATTTATTTATTTTTTTTTAACCGACAAAACAGCAAAGCAGCAGGAACAAAGAGCATTTATAAAAAAACTTTTTGTGTTTCTGACCGGGAGAAAAGCATCTCCCCTGGGATGTGTGGTGCCTTTTCTGCGGCGAGCAGCCCAGCCCAGCAGCTCCCGCCGGGCAGCGCTGCTCCATCCCTGCCCGCAGCATCCTCCCTCCTCCAGCGGCGTGTTCCTCACCTCCTGGATCCAGCAGACGCTTCTTTCACCCGCCTCGGGATGTCACCAGCATCGCGGGGCCCCTGTTTATCCAGCCAGCCCGCATGTGCTCCCCAAATACCCATTCATCCACCCCGCTTCTGCTCTTCACAGCTCCCACCGAGCCACGGGCTGAAATCACCAGCTGAGGTTTCGGCTCCCTCCTGGTACATCACGCAATTAAATTGGTGTTGCCGCTGTTCCCTGCCCTTGTTTTTGGCAGCTGCCGCCAGCGGCTCCGGCACGGGCTTTAGAGGGGCTTTTGAAAGCCCTTTGGAGGGGTTTTTAATTAAACCATCTGGCAGGGCTGGTACCCAGGGCTGTGGCCTCTCTCTCTGCTGGTGAGTGAATTCAGGGAGCGCTGGCCAGGCAGAAATCCGGGCACATCCTGCAGAAAATTGCCATTTTTTGAGGCAGCTCCTGGAGGCGAATGTTTTGTCCCCAGAATGCCCTGGACACACCAAAAAGCTCATCCAAGACAGGAGAAAGGTGCTCACCGAGCCCCTGGGACGCCAGGGAATTGCTTTTTCCCAGCTCCCTGGCCAGTGTGAGCTTTTGGAGGAAGAAAAGTTGAAGGGCACAGTAGGTGACCACAATCCATGGGCAGAACTCCTTGGGAGAAGGAAAACATAATGTTAGGACAGGGAATTAAAATAATGAGCACGTTTGTGAGAATTTGCCCGAGGGAAAATAGTTTAGAAAATTAAAAACTCCATAGTAACAGACTGAAAGCTGTTAACCAACATCTAATTAGACAAAAACTGCAATCCCCACAACAAAACAAGAAAAGGAGGGGAAAAAAAAAATAAATTGTGCAGCAACCAAGCTTACCCAGACCAAAACAAGTACTGAGGAAATAAAAATAAAAATACACTGTTCAGTGACATTTGAAAAAAAAAAAAACACCTAGAAAAAAACTAGCAGAACTTTACAGTGAGTAGGCAAAACCAGGATAATATTGTATACTATCAGGTCTTGCTTTTTAATACCCATCAGAAGCCAAGGACAATCCCTAGTGTTCTCAAATATTTTCCAATACAATACAGAGTAGAGACCACAGCTTGGATCTCAACACTCCAGAGCAAAAGACCAAAAAATAAAACCCCAAAGTGCAACCACCACGCACAAACATACACACAAAGGGAATTTAGAATTACTTTATTGACAAAGTTCAAAGATCATTTGGGGTATTTTGCACATTAAATTTCATGTTAATGCTGACACGGTACAAGAGGAGGTGTTTTAGATGAGATGTTAGGATAACAGCACATATAGGCTCATGAAAGAAAAAGAACACAGCTTTTCTTATAAAAACAGTTTTTATTACTTGCAGAGTTTATATTAATCACAATAGATCTACTCTGAACCTTACTATGCTAATAAGTAATTTGAAAGCATACTTCTATAACAAAAGCTGTAATAAGGACATCTATAATAAAAACAGGACAAGTTTGACCTGAATTTTCATGATTAATCTGAATATTTTCACTTCAAACCCCTACTGTTTCAGGCCAGTTGGGTATCTGAGGGAAAAATCTGGCTGCATGATGAAGGTGGAAAAGCAAAGGATTAACAGAATTACAAATCAGTCTAGAATCTTTCGACCACCTCAGATTTTCCTGTTCAAGTGATGCAGAAAACTCCAAAATGCACAATTAGTATAAGAAGAAAGATTAAGAAAAAGAAATCTGGAAGTTGGTTTGAGGCATTGGGAAAAAGAAAAAATAATCAGATGCTTCCTTTGAGTAGCTACAGACTCTAAAACACAGCTGCCAACTTATTGTGTTGGTTTTTAAAAGCCTTGAGAGGCTGCCTGGAGCAGAGGCTGGACAGAGTTAAAGGAATAAAGCAGGAATTTATTAAAGGCCTCCACAGGACACACCTTGGGCAGTGCAAGAGCCTGGCTGAGGCTACACCCAAGATGGACAGCATGTGAGGAGTTTTCGCACTTTTTATAAGTTTTGGTCAATTTCCACATCGGGGTTCATTGTCCAGTAAAAGCTCCAGGTTATGCAGTCCCACCCTCCCAGTTTACTCCCCTCAATTTGCTGCTGTTTGCACTTTTTGGGCCCAAAGCTGTGTCCTTGGTTCTCAGGCTGGGAAAGGATTGTTTTGTCTGACTGAACTGCGAGGAGAATTTGAGGAAAAGACTTTATATGAAGGTCAGGGTTATATACCAACGCAGTACAGAATCTGGAAAATGTGAAAGCTAAAATTTAAGGCATCAGTGTCCTCCAAATTATTATAACTTTGGAATGATGGGGATTTGGGGCAGAGATGGGTGGGGGAAGAGCAGCTCTTCACTAGAACATGTGTAAGTGAAACAGAGATTTTCGGAGTTCACTTAAGTTAACAAAATGAATTAAGCATTTATATTTTAGCTTGTAGAGTTATGTGTTGAATTTTAACCCTTTACTTAAGAAACTTCTGCCAAGGTACAAAAGGCCACAAGAAAATGCAAAATTCAGAAGATTCTTGCATAAAGAACAATACCAGAAAGGACTAAAAGCACAAAGAACCCTGAAAAAGAAGCTCCTCTGTCCCTAAGCCTACCGAGACTGACAGAAATACTCAAATAAGCACCAAAAATCTGAAAGCACACGTGCAAAGAGGAAGAGTTCAAAGGTCCAGCCATGAGGAAGACCACGATTTTCAGCCCCAAAAGACCACCAGAGACCCCTGCAGGACCACCACCTAGAAGGGCATGGACTTATTTAGCATGAGAGGCGAGGACAGGCGGGGCCAGGTGTTGAATATGCATAGAAAAGTTGTGTAATGTATTGCATATGGAACACCTTTGGGAATAAAGGTTTGGGTCAGACTGAGGATTGGAGAGCAATCAGTGGTGGATGGCGCAGCAGCTGCAGTGGTGAGGCGGAGTGAAAATTGAACAGGGTAGAAATCCATTGGATTTAGGTGAAATGTGCAGCTTTGAGCTTGCTAGCATAAGTAAAATATGCTGTTTAGTCAGGTAATTGCAGTACTAGCAAAACTGCCCCAGCTCAGGAGAAAGAATGCAAATTTCCACACTAAAAAGATAAGAGATAAGAGACTCCTCAGACCTTGAAACAGGCAGAGTGACCCAGGAGTTCTTTCCATACTTTCTAACAAAACTGAGTACAAGTGCAACTAGCTGCAAGTGTAACACTTAGCAGAATGAATATGTGTGAACCTATTGTGAAAATCTATGCATATGTAAATTAGCAAGAGTAATAAAAAAGGATCGGGAATTCTCAGGGGCACGCATGTCCTTTGAAGGGGAACAATCCCTCACATGCGTCCAGCGCTGCAATAAAATAAACATACCGTCCCTACAAATCTTTATAGGGATTGTGGGGTTTTGATTTTTCACCCGGGTTTCAGCAGGAGCCTCAGAGGAGCAGCAGGGATGGCATCCGGGCGTGGTGAACAAAGCGTAGCATCGATTCTGGAGCCTGCCAGGAGCCACAGGGGTACAGGTCCCTCTCTCCTTCTGAGGGGATCAGGATCCAGGTTTCCTTTGGGAAGCAGCAGCCTGGCTCC